TAAATGAGCGAAGCTGGCACACTGAGCAGGATGATTTACGCATGCTAAATTAAAAATATTATTTATGATTGAGTATTATATATTATTCCCATATTTAGTGTCTTACTTTACTTCGCTGAACAAATATGGATGCAAAGTGTCAAGAATAAGTGATCACTTAAGTTGTATTACAGCTATAACCTCAAAGTAATATATTTTAAATGCAATATGATAATGACAATGCTGTTAAGATTTTAAGCTTAACAAATATTTATGGGAATTCCATGGTTCAAAAACACTTGGAATGTTTGCTTTCATATTTCAGAAATGAATTAGGTTTATTATATCATTAATAACTCTACACTAGTAGATAGTAAACCTAAAAACATTTTGAAGCCCCTTGTAATAAGATGTAGGCATTTAAGATCAAAATACTGGTATTCTTTTTACATAATATACAGAGCTAGAAATAGTCAGCACTCTTAGCTTGTCATTTTCAAGTATGTGTATCAAGGTTGGTATAATTAGGCAGAATGAGGCAGCCACCTAAAGTAACTAATTTGAAGAGTCAGGCGAAGGCAGTAAATGGTTGCTTATTGTTATTACTGCATTGTATTTTTTTTGAGGAGTAAGGATTCATAGTACCAGACAGCTTGACTCAAGAGTAAAAACTGGCATTCCCTTGATTGGCAATAAGAAGAATGCACTGAGTCAGTCCTGCTGTGAATTTTTCTTGCCTGAACAATCCTAAACATCTAATTCAAAGTGGACTGTTTGAAAAGTATAAAATACTCCAGCTGTTCTAAATAACTCATGAAACGTCTGTCAACCTTTTCTTTCTCTTCAGTACTGAAATTAACTTGTTTTAATAGCTTAGAAAATAAAGCTAACACCATCTACCCTGTTTCCCCGAAAATAAGACCTAACCTGAAAATAAGCCCTAGTATGATTTTTCAGCATGCTCGTAATATAAACCCTACCCCAAAAATAAGCCCCAGTTAAGTGAAACCCTGCTCTCCACCACTGTGCAGCAACCAGATGACATGACCGTATATGAATAAATGTAGATCGTTGTACTTGAAAAAAACAAAACATCCCTAGCCGTAATCCTAGCACTAACGTGTTTTTGGAGCAAAAATTAATATAAGACCCTGTGGGGGCGTTTCTTTCAAAAAGGTTAAAAAACAATGATCTAACATTCTCAAATTCATGAACTACATTCAGTACAATAGATTTGAAATCTATTAAAGACACCACAAATTTCCATAACTTTCTGTTTTGGGGGTAAGAATGGCATGTTCGTTGCTGGAGAGACCAATAAACAAGGAGCTGTAAATAGTTTTTATATATTCACAAAAGTCAGCTGTTACAAACTGAAAATACTGAACATCTAAGTTAACAGTAACTTACATTTGTTTTTTCAAGGCGAATGTGATGGTTACTGTACATGCAACAATCCTGATATTCAATACCAACTGGAAAAAATCCAGTTGGCACAGAAATTAGAAGCTCATTTCTATGGATATGTGTACGAAACCTATGATTCTAGTCTCCAAGATTGCTATATAAATGGGAATATTCCGAACATCCTTCAGAATTATAAGTACAGTAAAGAGTTTCTACTTCTTACACCATTAATAGTCCAAAGATTTCCCAAAACACTGATTATATCAAGTGTTTTCCTTTCTAATTTGCAAATGCGTCCATGCTGCACAGACCAAGGGGCACTGCTGTCAACTTGCTTAAGCTACTTTATTTAATGCAGGATATGAACTATTTTGACTTAGAAAACCAACTGCTATAACACATTTTTTCAACTGACATTATAGATTGTCAAGTGAAAAATCTACAGTAATAAGTTACACTGAAATCTATTTATTTATTTAACAAAAATTTCCATTCTGTTCCTATGTGAACAAGCTTGACACAATGACCAACTACACTCACAGGAAGAACTCCCACTGAACTCAAAGGGGCTAATTTCCAAATAATTAGGTATAGGTCCAAGATATAATCTTGGCATGTTGACAAGGAAGCAATCATTCTAAGCCCACTGACCAGAATCCAACTGTTAGTCCCTGACAGAACTGACTCTTTGAAATAGTTGAATATACAAAGTGTTTACACTATCATCCAAAACTGATTCAAGAGATCTCCTCTAGTTGAGATAGTTAACTAGATTTAGTCCAGTGAGACTAATAACTAAAAGTATACCTAATTGTCCTTTATAAGGCATTCTTAGTCTCACTTCTGAAAACGCCTTCATGCCCCAGTAGTTCTTAAGTACGCAATAATTCAAGTAAACTTGCATAAATCTGGAGCAGAAAGCAAAGCATTATACTACTCATACTGTCAATTTCTGGTCAAACCTTCCAGAAGAAAAAAATTTGCTTAAGAGAAGCAAAATTTCATTGCAACAACTTATCTGTAAAAAGAGTTTTAAAAATAGTGAAAGTGGAGTAATTTAAGCACAGAATACAAAGTTTAAAATAATGGTTTATGTCCAGAACTTGAGCAAAAGGCACAGCCCTTCACTAGGAGAAGGCCTCTCTAAATTGTGCCAAGTTCCTCTCTCGCAGTGGTAGTCACCTGTGCAGTGGTAGTCACCTACATCATATTTTGGAAAGGGTGACTTTTAGCAAGTAGTGGAGAGGAACAGAAGAAGGCATGGCTCTTTGGACAGAAACTGATATTTATTCTCTATCTTACGTAACAGATCAGTCAAATTTTGAAGTATTTATTCTCAAGGCAGAGGCTTCACCATTCAAAAATTCCTTCTACCCACCCACCCAACTATGAAAATAAGCAATATTTCAAACTAAGAAAAATGTAATGCAAATGTGTATTTGTTTGGCATATATTTTCTCTGATTCTCAAAAATATGTAGGTTCAGAAGTAGTTTCACAACATAATTTTAAATACAAAGGGTAACATCTAACAGTTATCTACCTTTTGTTTCACAAAAATAAGAAAACAACTATCAACCTATACACATAATGTATATAATGTCAACTGCATTCTTAAACTATGCAAAGCAGGCAATTTTTTTACTAGTTACTTAAAACAATTCTAAGGCACAATGGATCTAATTTTCCTAAATGCACTTGGAAGAAAACACTTCAGTGTACTTATATACACCTCCTATCAGTGAGATTAGTAAAAATTCACTTCCATTATGATTTTATACAGTTAACTCTATGCATTCGCTACAGCCCCCTCATGTATTATATTTGCACAGTACTTCAGTTCTTAAGCTATTCTAGCCTTTTCTTTTCCTTCTCCCTAGATCCTGCATCTTAGCCTATACAGTATTGTAGCCAGTAACATTTCAAGCAGTAGAAATCTTATCGCCACATACTAGTACTAACACTTTGTGTTCTGAAACAATGTTTAGAATATGGTTCATATACAGTACTTCCCCTGAACATGCATGCAATGCCTAAGTTAATTTTTAACTTTATAGCTCAACACTTATGCTACTAGCCAAATATATAAAACAAAGTTTAGATGATTTAACATTACAGAATTTAGTACACCTCGCTGGAATATCAAAACGAACTAACACAAGGCAAAGAATTAAACCAGTGGTATAAATCGACTGAAATATCTCCCACACATCCACATGCACAAATGGAAAATCAATCACTGGAAATTCTGCAGTATCTATACAATACCTCAACAGTCTTGAATGTTGTGAAAAACCTGTCTAATGTAGAAACTGCCAAGAAAACCGGACACCAACACTAACAACCCCCTCTGCCTTTGCAGACCTCTCAAACCTGGACTGTTCTTCACCCTAGGCGTGTTCTGTGAAAATCAGCAGTTAGATTACACTGAGTTCCTGCGTTTCCCCCCATTCAATGAACTGCCTTATAATAAAATAACTGGTTAATTAGGAATTGGACTTTTAGGAGAGGAGGGGAAAAGAATAATAAATAAATAAAACCCAAGAAATTCTGTGCTGGATTGGTGTAAGAGCCACTAGGCACCATGACTACACTTCAAGAAGGCTGCAGATTAAAGAGCCGGAGATTGGGCAGCAGGGAGGAGGAAAAAGCTTTGTTATTGGATGTTTTATTTACTATTCTTGGGTTTTATTGTTTTTATGTCATGTTGTAAGCCGCCTAGAGTGGTCGAATAGACCAGATGGGTCTATTCAAATAAATAAATCAAATAAATAAATAAAATAAGCGAGTTGTCATTTTGCCGAAACCTTTCTACAGCCAATAAACTGACCCAGAGCAGGAGGGGGAGAAAGCCTAAAGAAGCAAACGGGGGGGGGGGAGAATAAGACAGAACGGCTGCAGAAGGAATAGCTCGACAGAAGACCGGGCGCTAGGGTGGGATGGGGGTGTGTGTGTTTGTGTGTAAAAACAAAACGCCATGCCACCACACGCCTCCTTTCCTTCTATAGTCAACCCTCGCCCCCCTCCCGGAGGGCCCACAAGGCTCGGGTGAGAAGGGTGGATGCTTGTGTGTGTTTTGGGGTGGCTACCGCTTTGACCCACCACCCCGCCAAACACAAAACACACACACTCGCCAGGCGGCCTCCAATAAAGAAGGGAAACGAGATTTTAGCCGGCACGACCGAGAGTCTTCTCTCAACCTCACCCCACCGAGTTTTAACCCTCAGGCACCTGCCGCCCTGAGGAAAAACATGCCGCGCCGGGAACTTCCTGGCTGAAGGGTGTGTGTGTGTGTTTGTGTGGGCAGACGCAAGGAGGCCCCTTTCCCTCTCGCTCGGGCTCTTCACCGACGGCTTTTCTGAAGCCCCAGGCGCTGTTGGGGCTCCCTTCCTCCGTCCCACAAGACCACACCAAGCTGCCGCTGCCTCCTTCTCCTCCAGCCCCTTCCTTCGCTGGCTCCCGCTGCCTCCATCGCTTCTCTCTTTACTTCAGGAGAAACAACGGCGCTTCGGGTCCAACGTGGAAAGTACACACCTCGCCGGCCAGGCAACCCACCTCAGTACAAGCCCTCCCTCCCTTCCTTCCCTCACCCCATTCCCCTTGAAGGGAACTTACCTCCGGTCCGACACTGCTGCGGTTGCTGCCACGCCAGCTGCTTTTACCCCATCCCGACCGCAACTCCGTCCCTCCGTCCGGCAAGCAAGCAGACTGTGCCTCCGGCAGGCAGGCAGGCAGGCAAGCGAGCTCCTTCCCCCGCCCCCCGCCGCC